TGCAGCGTGCTAAACTTCTCATCGCGATTTCTTGAAAACGCTTGAGAGTTGCGTCGTCTCCGTTTAGCATTTTTTGCTCTTATATCCAAACTACATTTCTGCAAAGTTTCATAAAAATCGGTGACCCCCAGGGTGTAGGCACCCCTTGTAAGTGAAGAAAGTCGGAGGTACAGTTCCGAAAACCTGAAAAACCCGATTTTTCTGTCGATTGGTTTACTACTATTTTGGTGCGCTGATTACGAATATGATAATGAATATCACCGACAAGGTTATTTTCAAGGTCAAAACTCAAAAAAACTAAAAAATTATCGCTTTTTTAACATTATTTTGATAAATATTTATAGCACAAAAACATGTTTCAAATAAAAGTTGTAGCTCTTGAAAAAATACATCATTTATGTTCTATGCAATTTTGGCATAAAACCACTAGTTTTCGAAAAAAATAAGATACTAGGTAAGAGAGTGACTTGTGTATGCATGAAAGTACGTATGGCGAAGAAGACGCTCAGTCCGACAGTAAATATTTACAAAAGGTCACCACCCTCTGATGTGAATGAACTTGACATATGTTGTCAAGGATACCTCCCTGAGTAACAATCAAAAGCCGTCGCTCGTTATTTATTAAAAAGGTAACAACAAAAAAAGTTTTATAAATAAACTTTTATTTTTCGATTCCATGTACATTTTCTTTGTGTTGTAAGTGTTTAGGCAAGGGGGACTTCGCGCCTCCTCTCTGCTCCTCCCTTTGTGTTTTGCGTGTATATTACCTTGTGATTATATTGGAATATTTTTTCTGAATCCACTATTCCACAATAATAAGTTATGTCTAAAACATACAGGTTTGGACAACGATGCTTTATGAATGAAACCTGTATGTAATCGGAATGTAATCAGAAGTCGTATTCGTTTATTAAATTCTTCATTTTTTCTTGACGGAGGGAGCAGGGGGGCGTAGTCTCCCCTGCCTAAACACTTACAACACAAAGAAAATGTACATGAAATCGAAAAATAAGAGTTTATTTATAAAACTTTTTTTGTTGTTACCTTTTTAATATGACTATCCCGACTCGTGTTAGCGCCCGTGTAAACAGGCAAAATGCCTCAATACGTGTTTTCGTTGTCTAAATATATTATATTTTGTTAAATTGTGTCCCTGGTACTTGAGCTGAGTTTCTTTCTCTCTCGTGCCTAAAGTTACCTCCCGAACTTCCGCCTCTCCGTTTCAGCATTTGAGTTGCCGAGTATTTTCGCGGGAAATTGTCGTCACGTCCAAGGTAATTTGTGATTATGTCGAGATATTGTTGTCGAGATATTGTTGTGATTTTCACGCCTGGCGTTCAATTATACGTTTGAGAAGTTTTGGATACTACCGAGGACGTGCCGAAGATGTGTGTGACGCTCTCGTAATTTCACCCGAGACGAGAGAAATTGCAGCAAAATAAAGTCGCTCACAATATATATATATATATATATATGTGTGTGTGTGTGTGTGTGTGTGTGTGTGTGTGTGTGTGTGTGTGTGTGTGTGTGTGTACACGTATATAAACGAATTCACGTTGAAACGTGAAAACTCANTGTGTGTGTGTGTGTGTGTGTGTGTGTGTGTGTGTGTGTGTGTGTGTGTGTGTGTGTGTGTGTACACGTATATAAACGAATTCACGTTGAAACGTGAAAACTCACGTTCACTCATGTTAAATTTAATTTTTTATTTTTTTTTCCTTTTTTATATTTTTAATTTAAACCGAATTATTTTCAGTACCGAATATGTTACTTTTTATTGTACAGAACACTGAATAAAGACTTAAAACAAAAGTCAAAACGTCTGTATCATGTTGAAATTTAATACATCTGCAAAACACCAAGCAATGAATTCAGTAACGCCTCATCATTCGATATCAAGTTTATTATTTGTTTCTGAACCTGAAGTCATCCCTCGACAAACAAGTAATATTTATTAATTTTTTTATACTTATAGAGGGAGAGAGAGAAAGAGAGAGAGAGAGAAAGAGAGAGGGAGTGTGTGTGTGTGTGTGTGTGTGTGTGTGTATGCAATAATGGCAAAAAATTGTTTTCTCAAACTTGATTTTCCATATTGTGACAACACACATGTACATATTATTAGTTAATCACAAATATTAATAAATTACTAATTATATGATTAAGGAAAATAAATAATTAAAAAATAAGATAAATAATTATACTAAATTATTTGATTAAGGGAAATCAGACAACAAAATAATGAGAGCAAATCTCGTTTTACCTCCGCAAATAACGTCCGCTAGGTTTGTCTGTACAGCCTGATGCGTAATATCTCCTTCTCGCAGAGTAATCATTTCGCCATGCACGAGTGCCACCGCCTCATCATTGCTCATTAGCATGCTACCTTGACCTCTGGACTCGCTCATGTCCTTAGATCGTCTGGAATTACCGGAATCGCGTCTGAGTCTCTTGGTCTCGGGCGTTACGACGAAGTAGCCTTGAGAAGTATGATAGATCTTCCGTTCTTGCATAAGTTTTGCCAGAGCGTCATAAACAAGGTCTCGGCTGGGTCTTTGCATGGCCGGGAAGGCATTTTTAAGGGCGGTTCTGAGAGTATCTAAGGTCGCAGCTTGTCTTTGAGAAGTCAATTCCAGAATGGCCCAACATAAAGCTTCTGGCAGCGGTGTAAACTGGCCTTGAGTAACTGGAGCCATTAAACAATCTTCTATATCGCCTATAAAATAGAAAAACGATATCAAAAATGGTATATAATAATTGTGTTAATAATAATAATATCAAGAGGTATGTAGTGCCTCACGTTAAGTATACGCGTAAACGGAGTGTGCGCGCGCTGCGCTAGGTACTCCGTGTCTCATTCACGCGAGTAGGGCCGATCGAGAATTTTGAGATTTTCAGATCTCAACAACGACTAAATCGAGTTCGGCCTAGACTCAATCAAAAGTTGAAATCAAGACAAAAAAAAATATTTTGCAGTTTTTTCCTTTGTACCTTTCCTACGGAAATATCTCGGTACAAAGTGCGAAATTCCGAAAAACTAGATACAATATGTAAGAAACGTCCAGGTCGTCGAACAGCGTACTTATTTAGATGTAGCCACCAAGGTGCGTAAAGATAGAACGTACCTAGCCTTTTGTGAAAAGATGACGACATTTTCGTGTAGAATATCACGATCTATCTACACTCAAAAAGCACAGTAACGGTAGTACTGGCTTGGTAGGATGGCCTTGGCGCTTCGCACCAAATATACGTGCAAACAAAGTGTGCGCGCGCAGCGCGAGGTACCTGGTGCCTCATTTATACGCAAGTAGGACCGATTGAGAATTTTACACAAAACGTAACGCGAGTCAAACAAATCGCAACCCTCACTCTGCTTTCATGTAGGTTAGGTTAGGTTAGGGTTAGGTTAGGTTAAGTTAGGTTAGGTTCTCGGTATGGGTCCTCTCTGCGCGTCGCGGGCCGTGTGCTCGAGTGGCGAGTTAGGGATGATCTGGAGACCCTCTCCGATCATAGGTACATCACTATGAGGGTCTCCCCACTCCCTGACCGCCTCCGGGGCTGCCGCGGAGCGAGAAGGAAACCCCTATCCCAGGGGTGGGTCCTCAGGAAGATGGACCCGGATATCCTGTCCGCCGCTGCTCAGGCCGTGGCTTGGCCAAAACCACCGGCCGAGCCACGTGACCCCCGGGACGAGTATGAGGGGTTCCGGGACACGCTGGTCGCTCTGTGCGACGCGGCCATGCCACGTTCCCGGGGCCCTTCGACCCGGAGGTCGGTGTACTAGTGGACGGCCGAAATTGCCGCTCTCCGCGTAGAGAGCATTTGCGCCAGACACCGGTTCACCCGCGCCCGCCGCCGAGCTGTCAACAACGGCGAAGGGGCGCAACGAGCAGCGGAACCGGAGTACCAGGGTTATCGGGCTGCGCACAAGGCCCTGCGTACTGCCGTTATGAAGGCAAAGTCCCAGGCGTGGAAGGAGCTCATGGAGACTCTCGACGCAGATCCATGGGGGCGTCCGTACAGGCTTGTCATGAACAAGCTGCGGCCGTGGACGCCCCCAATCACCGAGAGTCTCGACCCCCAACTTCTGGAGGAGGTCGTCTCCACCCTTTTCCCTGACGGGAGGGGTGATTGGCCTCCCCGAGAGCCGGAGTTGGACCCAGTCGTGTGGTCCGACGACCTGGGGGTCACGGAAGAGGAGCTCCGCCGGGCCGTTTGTCGGATGGCGCGGAAAAACACCGCGCCCGGCCCCGACGGCGTGCCCGGCAAGGTGCTGGGCTTTGCCTTCGGACAGGGTCCCTTGGGAGACCGCCTCAGACAGCTGCTCACAAACTGCCTGAGGACCAGCTGGTTCCCCCCTGATTGGAAAAGGGCCAATCTTGTGCTTCTCCGAAAGGGTGGAAGGCCTGCGGACTCTCCGTCCGCGTACCGGCCGATATGTCTGCTAGACGAGGCAGGCAAGCTCTTGGAGCGCATCGTTGCCGCACGCCTCGTCGAGCACCTGTCGCGGGTAGGTCCCGACCTGGCCGACTGCCAGTTTGGGTTCCGTGAGGGACGATCGACGGTCGACGCCGTTTCTCGACTGAAGTCCCTCACGGACGCGTCGGTCAGGCAGGGGGGGTGGGCGTTGGCGGTGTCACTCGACATCTCCAACGCCTTCAATTCCCTCCCCTGGGACTGTATATTGTGGGCCCTGGAGCGTCACAGGGTTCCGCCCTATCTAAGCAGGATCCTCGGAGACTACTTCCGCGACAGGCATATCAGGTACACTGGTCGATACGGATCACCACACAGACGAGAGATGTACCGCGGGGTCCCGCAGGGGTCGGTGTTAGGCCCCCTGCTCTGGAACCTCGGGTACAACGTGGTGATCCGGGCCGCTCTCCCCAGAGGCCTGGGTGTCATCTGTTACGCGGATGACACCCTTGTAGTGGCCTCCGGGGAAACATTGGAGGAAGCACGCAGGTTGGCCGAGTGTGGCACCAATTGTGTCGTTGGCCGAATCGAGAGGCTGGGTCTCAAGGTGGCCGTCCACAAGACGAAGGCGATGTACTTTAGCCTCCGCAAAGGACGGCCCCAGGGAGTAGACTCCAGCCTCCAGGTAGGTGAGGCACGGGCCGAGGTGGGCAAAACAATCAAGTATCTCGGTCTCCACCTCGACCCGCGATGGCGCTTCGACGAGCATTTTGCTCGTTTGGGCCCCAGGGTAGCCAAAGTGGCCAACGCCTTGGCCAGGCTGCTCCCCAATCTTGGGGGCCCAAAGCAGAAGGCCCGCCGTCTGTTCACAAACGTGGTCCACTCGGTGGCCTTGTACGGGTCACCGCTGTGGGCGGAGGCCACTCTTCAGGCAGGTGAGCGGAGCCAGTTCCATCGGCTCCGTTCGGCCCAGAGGACTATGGCCCTCAGGGTCATAAGCGGCTTTCGCGACGTGGCCACGGAGACGGCGGGCGTGTTGGCGGGGGTACCTCCCCTGGCCCTTCTCGCGGAGATGCACTTGGCGCGATATTCTCGCCGAGTCNAACTCCTGCGAGAGGGCCTAGCGGACAACACCTTGCGGGAGGCCCTCGCCGACTCGGAGCGCCAGGCCCGACGGCAGCTGCTCCTACGCTGGGGGCAGCACCTGGACAAACCGCGTGCGGCCGTCCAGGAAGTCGTCGCGGTCGTCCGACCCCATCTCGAGGCATGGTTAGAGAACGGGGTCGGACGCCTCACCTACAGGGTGACTCAGGTGCTCACCGGACACGGTTGTTTCGGGGAGTACCTGAGTCGCATCGGCAAAGAGCCGACGACGCGGTGCCACCAGTGCGGGGCGGCCAGCGATTCGGTGGAGCACACCGTGGAGGAGTGCCCACGGTNNGCTCAGGAACGCCGATCGCTGGTCGCACAAATCGGGGACGACCTGTCCNTGGAGGGCCTACTCAAGGCCCTTGCCTCCAGGGACNAGAACGTGTGGAGCGCGGTGGTCTCCTTCTGCTCCTCGGTTATGGAACAGAAGGAGGCCGACGAGCGCAACAGGGAGAGAGAGCGTCTTCCCTGCGGGGGGCCTCGGGGGCGCGTGCGAGCGGGGTGCCGGCGAGCACCCGCTTCCCGCGCGCGTCTCCCCCCAGGCCTTGGTCCCCGGCAAGCCAGTCATCAACGGTGACAATAGTCCCCTCCTCTTCCCCTTTGTAACCTCCCGGTTAGGGAGTAGAGGGTGAAGGAGGAGGGGAGACTGGGGTGGTGGGCGTTGGGAGAGCCGGCTCTTCCGTTAGCTCACCGCCCCAGCGNGGAACATTGGAGAAGAGAGGGCGCAGAGCGGTGGTCCCAGNGGCGGTACCGTCCGTTTCCTGGGGGNTGATTTGTTGTTGGCCACCGCAGGGGCCGCGACGGATCGGGNTGGGGGCCCCGAACNGTCTTGCACGCGGCCTCCGGGAAGGGGCGGCGCGACGGCGTGTGCCCTGTCGTGCCGCCAAAGATAGATGGCCTTGTTGGGCCTAGGGGAGAGGGGAGGCACCGGAGCTTATACTCCATTCCTCCTCCCCTCCCTGAGAAGGCAGTTTGAACAGCCTGGGGGGGTTCTCGGCGCAGTCCTAACGGGGTCCCGGGAGTCCCCAGCGCAACAGGCACGGTAGGCACACCATGGTGGGTTTTAGTGGGTAAACCTCCCCCGACTTGCGGGTAGGGGGAAGGACTCCCTCTCCCAGGGGCCGGGGTATCCATAAAGGATTTCCCCCATGTAAAAAAAAAAAAAAAAAAAAAAAAAGGTTCTCGGTATGGCTCGGTTTGGGGGTCGGGGGGACAGCCCCGGCCTTCCAAGGCAGAGCTGACTGCCACCGAGCGCGTCCCCAGGTTGCGGATAGGGGAACGGCCTCAAGTACTGAGGTTAGCTGCGAATAACCCCTTTGGGGGGAATAAGCAATCGCGGACAAACAGCGGTGGATACTGTGGGTGGGGTGGTTGCTCCTGTGAGAAGGGAGTAGCTTATAAAGTGCCCCATAAACCTGATGAAGTATCCACGTCAAAGGCGAGTAAGTGCCGCCTTAAAAGCACTTCAACCCTTGGGCTCGTTAGGTTTTGTTTACCAACCGATCTAGGTAAAGGAAAACACCGATGTAAAACCAAATAAGTAGAAATATATGATGGACAGCAAGACGAAGAAGGACTTACCGCCCCAGAGTGATCGGATACTCAGGGACCGGCACGGTGGGAGTACTGTCCCTGCTCCCGCCGCGTCGTTATCCAACGAAGGGCAGAAGGAGGGGTTGACGGCGGGCTCCTCTGAACAATCTGCTACCGCCGTAGTTGAGCAGTATAGAGAGAAGAGGAAAGCCGACAAGAGACTGGAGTCGGCTCTTCAAGAGGGCTTGGAGGTGGCCGATTGCTCCATCGTTACGATGGGCATCGGCGCCCTCTTTGACCATGTGGCGGACTCTTTGGACGAGCTTTGGGAGCGACTTTGTCGTCGCTCTAAAATGTCCAGGGAGGAGAAAGCGGACAGGCCGAGGAAGCTCCGGGAAAGGATCGTTTCAGGTCTCCTGGAGCTTCGAGCCTGATTCACCCCTCTCCGTGAGTCCGTTGACAACATCGAGAGGGGTGCCGCCAACGTGGCTGCCGAAGTAGAAAGGGTCGCTCGGGGGCAGGTTGCTTCTGAGCGACAAATTTCGGAGGCCATCCTCCAGGTCAGCGAGGATCTTGATGAGGGTAATATCTCCTGCCTTGCTGGCCTCAAGGAAATTA